ATGGCGCTCTTTATAAGCCGAGCGCGCCTGAGTTCTGCGGACGCGGTTTTGACGGACCACGCACACATCAAGCGATATGTTCGCCGAATGCAGATGACGGCCCGGTAACCCACGATTCGGTCGCGCCTCACCGAGCCACAGCTTGGGCGAGTGTTGCCGGAGATTGTCCATTTGTTCTCCAGAGCCCTTCCTTAAATCAGCCAAACCACGATCGCAGCGGCCGACTTACACGTGGCAGGTAAGAACCCGGAGTTAATGAGTTGCATTCCACAAGCCGGTGTCCGGCTTTGCTAGTTACTTCTCCCAAGTGCCTGAAGGATGACACGGCGTGAAACTTGAACAAAGAAGGCCTCTGGCGCTCGCCGCGCTCCTTCTGTGGTCAGCGGGTCATTGCGGACAAGGAAATGTGGGTGTTGGAGAGGATAGAGACTCTAGTATGGCGTGGGCAGAGGCATTTACGGTTCAGAACGGGCTTTCCCAGTAGCCGCTGTGTTCCTATCCGTGGTCGAAGCTCGAAAGTGATGGTGGTCTGCGTTAAGATGTGTGGCGATCATTATGTCATCGGGATGGCCAGCGTCGACCGATCACCAAAAAGGTCTTCCCCACTGTGCCCCACTGGCACATTTCGCGTGTGCGCTCCGATCGTGGCCGCGCGCTTCTCCCTCGAGCCTTGACCTCTTGACACAAGTTCACTACCCCAGTGCTAGCAGCCTCACCTCCCGATGCCGCCACCACACGACACGAGTCGGCCTCTCTTTCGGCTCTTGGGAAGCGCTGGGCAATGGCGTCATGCTTAGTCGCTGGCTTCTGTGAGATGCGGAAATGTTAGCAGCCACTGCCGCGCGGTTCCGTAACACGCGGCCTGCCGCATTGCGGTACCTTCAGTCTTGATTCAGTCTATATGCGTCGCGGAGCCGTCCACATCGATAGTACATTGTGACAGACGGCGATACCAGCGGTATCCTTATGCAAAAGTTAGCCTGCAGCTGCGGTAAATTTAACTCTGTGTATGTAAAACTTAACTGTCAGCGTGAGGCAACGCGGCATGGATGATTGTTCTGTTAAGTATTCGTCGAATTGCGGCGCACTCGTCGCGAGCGCTGGTTTCCTCCCGCGTGGGCGTTGATTCGGACTAGAAGCCCAGCGGGGCCGTGCGGCGCGTCCAACTCCCGCGCGCGTTGACTATCAATCTGCGTTTCGCACGATTCCCACGGAGTTGTGTCGGAGGCGTGTTCATAGGAAAGGACAGTCGACTGGCGTATCTATGGACCTTTGCGTGTTGCTCAACTTGAAGGGGCAGTCGATATATCTGTCCGCTGGCATGCTGTCACCAAGAAAAGTGCTTGATATTGTCGTCTGACTTACATGTTGCCATGTGCTGCTTCCGTTGCAAGTTCAAGGCGGGAAACTCGTGGTGGAGGTCGTCAAGGTCAAGCGGGATCAATTTATCAACAACGAATGACTTGGATGAGTCATTTGACAGCATGGGAAGCCAGTCTTGTTCCTCTCCTTGCTGTCGGCTCAAGCAGCACGCGTAAGCCACGGGTGACCGATAGCAGTGCGGCCGAGCGCTCATCGAGCCTGTTCTTGGTGAGACTCAAGTCAGCGCCTCAAGACGACCCCGCTTACCTCTTCTTTGCAGCAATCGGGCTTGACGGTTGCCCGCCGGAGACATTGCTCGTCGTTGCCGGTCATTCTCGGCGGGTGGTTGGTGGGAAAGAGATGGCCGGCTGGTGATTGTAGAGTCGGAGTGTAATGCCGCGTTGTAGTCCGGAAAAGTGTTGTTTGCCGCCTGCCATGCAGCGGGGGGTACCGCACACTTGGACTTTGACGGCGGGAGCCTGGAGTGGCTCCATTGAAGGTGTGCGGGGCTGCGCGCAGGGCTTTTAATCGCGTCGCGCGCAGGTGGAGGCGTCGTGACGGCGACGGCGACGGCGACGGCGACGGCGACGACCCGTCCACTGCGCGCAGGACTTTAGGGTAGACGGTAGGAATTTAACCTTGATGATAATTACATTGGTATGCGATATTCCATCGCACATGACTCTCCCTCGCTTCTAATGTGTCGAAACCATCCCAAATCGCATCACCAAAGCACGCACTTGCGGACGATATTGCTCAAGTGCATCGAGCACTGCCGGGTCCGCCTGACTCTTTCCTGGGGGAAGGATCCCCGATGGAATACTGCTCGCGAGTCTCTTTAATCCCTCCATCAGTCCCCTAGCTGACGGCTCTCGCCGTAAATGCATCACCCTCCACAACGTCGTGTTGCTATCCAATATGCCCATCAGGTGTAATTGACCTGCACCGGTGATACACCGCCGCTTGGCACGCTGAAAGTCGTCGCCGTACAGTTTTGTGTCGCCTGACTTGAGTTCACGCGTCAGCCGTGGGTCCATATCAGGGAGTACAGCGATGAGCGCGCGGGTGCCGGTGTAATTGAAATGCACATGGGGGACGGCGCTGGTACCGTAGGTATTGAAGAACCGCACCATCTGAAGACAGGTCGTCTCTTGTGTTTCCATGTAGCCTTGATTAAGAAGCGCGCGGAAGAAAGCGCGGTCCTTGGTCGTGAATGAACGGGCATCTTCTGCAAGATTTTAATTTACCGGAAAAGGGTTCCAAAAAGCGCACCGTTACGAATCCTTCGTAGATGGCCACAAGCGAGTCGATGACCATTCACCGCCTTCCAGTCATTCTTCTGACAAACTGGAGAGCAGTAGAAGGACGTAAGGCAGCCCGAACATCGCTTCATCGATTTTCTGTCTGCGATTCTACCGCACTATGACGAAATGTAAGACTGGATACAAGGGTAGTCAATGAGGAAACATACCCCGATATCATCGCACGCCTTGAACATAGTCAATTGTCCATCACTAAACCAATCCACTACTTCTAATCGACTCTCCACCTGTGACACAAAACTGGTCCAGTGTTCTGCCAGCTCGTCGCTTCCTTTGAACCGAAAATGAAGGCGGGGATCCAAACTTCTCACATCGCGCAGGGAGAGTCTGAGTTGGATCAAGACCGAGTGGTAGACGCAAAAGCCAGGAAGAATCTGTGCAATGAAACCGACGAATTGGTCATTGAAAAACTTGGTTTGGTTCGAGCTGTCCCGCTGACGTAGTCGCCCATATGCAAAGAGTGCTGGGAGGAGGCCGGCACTGAGCGACTCGATGACGCGGGGTCGCGCACTTGGAAATATCAGGCTGTTTATCAATGCGATGAAGAGGTCCTCCGAAACCGTCCCCCAATGGCTTGCAAGGGGAGAGATAGCACTGACAGCTCGATATGCAACGGTGATGGCGCTCATGAAGCCATGGTCCCAAAGAGCTTGACGATAGACTGCGTTGTTGTGGAAAGGCTCGCCAACGAGGGAGCAGATGGCAGTCATTGACACAAGGCATTCTTCATCGACTTTCATGTCCGCAGTAGGGATGACACAGCGCAAATGGCGGACGGTATGGACAGCAAGATGAGTCCACGAGCGGCCGACACCATAGAGAAGGTCTGCAAGGTAGGCTGGTTCCGTTCCGTGGGCCCCTATCCGGGACTGCGCCAACACACGCCCAAGCCGGAAGAGACTCGGTTTGTCGCCTTCGTCGATGAGCACCTTCCAACTCCTCCCAATGACGCGCATGAGTTTGGGGGTTGCGAAAACCTTGAATGCCATCTCAGCACCGGCTTGAGATGAGCAAAGGTCGATGATGCCAACGCAAATCGAGCGCGCAGTCCCGATTAATGTTGCGGGTGTAAAACTGTCGGCAAAAGCATCGAGATAGATGACCCAGGGCCATGAACGGGCCCATATATCGCTGACAGCGCCGGCGGGTACTAATTCGATGTCGTTCAAGGTGATAAAGCACTGCAGCGAAAGCATGACCCGCTCGATAGACTCGTACACGACAGTATTGTCTCGCTCGAAATCTTGGGCAAGGAGGATGTTAGAGGGGTCAAGAGAGTCGTAGAAGAGTGGAAGTAGGTTTGTCTTCACGTTCGTGCCGTACGATGAGCCGTCGATGAGCCCCAATGCTGCATGAGCGAGAAATTTGAAGTCTTCAAAAGCACCACGGGATGCCGATTGTGCGCGGGCCTTTGAAGTTTGGACATGAGAGACGAAGAAAGGTTGATTCTGACACGTGCCTTCAATGCTCCAGGCAGTCGTAAGAGATTGGTTGTCTTCAACGATGAATGCATCCTCGATTTCCGATCCGTGAATGTCGTGGAGAACTCGAAGTGAGGAAATCACATGGTGATTGTCGTGACTGATGCGTTGATGGCGCATCAAGCAGAAGTCACATCGTGTCAATGAGTCATGTTACTTTCTTTTGTGTCGCACTGGCTGCCATTGCACAACAGACCTGCCATGGAGCAACGACACCTTACGGGCCTGAGTAGATTGTGGCAGTTCTAAATTCACGGCCAATCGGCGCCGTCTGGCCATGGCAGCAACTTAACTCAATGAAAGTGTGTGTTTTCCACGTTCCCGCGTGAATGCATTGACTGGAAATCCGGGTCGCTGTGCTCACGATTGTTACCTCTGCGGACTGCGTCGCAAAGAATTGACACGCAAGTCTCCTGACGCCTTCCTTCCTGTCCGCAGTTCGTCAGCGAATCGTCGCAGTGCTAGCCATGGAACCCCACGAGTATCGAGGCACGCCCCCGACGGATCAGCCTGGGAACATAAGAATCGTGTGGTCTTCCACGCATCAGTTTCTGGGCTTTTCGGGGACCCACGCACTACAAATTGTAACAGCCTGGGATAGCGCACCTCAAAATAACCAACGAGGCATCAACCATTCACCTATCAGGATGTCCAACCGCCTCGAAATCAGCGCACAGCCTAAACAGACTGCGGGTTTTAGCTCGCACTGTCAGCAAGTGCTGTCATCGGTCCAAGATGCTCATCCGGCTGCCGGAAATCATTTAATAGACGGCAGTATTTTACAACCTCGTTCAAGGACGATCCCACTTTGCTTTTCCTCTTTCTCTTTTCGGGCATGGGTGCGTCGTCATTTTCAGGTCCTTCCGCCTAGCCTTACTTCGTGGTAGCTTCCCAACTTATGGCTTTTGTTCTCCGTGACTTGCAAGAGCCCAGCAACTCCACTGTGCCTCCAAATTTCCCAACCATCACCGATGCAGAGGCACAATACGGGTACATGCCATCGGAGGCCATCGCCATCCTCTTCATCGCGCTCTTTGGTATCAGCACGAGTAAGTCAGCATTTTGCGTCGAAGACGTTTTGGCTCATTATCATTGCCTCCAGTCCTACACGCGGGTCAAGCACTATATTTCCGCACCTGGTTCCTCCTGCCTACTGCCGCGTTGTGTGGTATTGGTGAGATCATTGGCTGGGGCGGGAGACTGTGGAGCGCTATATCGCCCAACGCTGATACGCCATTCAAAATGCAGTGAGTGCGACAACCGTCCATTTAGATCGGGTTGGACTAACGAAATGCGCTATTTAAGAATCTCGGCGACCATCATCTCACCGACACCGCTCTTGGCTGCAAGCTTTATCATCTTTTCGCGTGTTATACGGCAGCTAGGCCCTGGGTATTCATTACTCCCAGCACGTTGGTGTATGTCGTCTTATCCAGGCCCTCAAAATGCTGATTTACTCCTGTAGATGCGTGGATATTCGTGACCTGTGTTAGTCGGTTTCCCCCTTCAAGTTCCCTTTTCCCATGGCTAATCGATTTCACGTAGGACATTGTCGCATTGCTCGTTCAAGGTGTCGGAGGAGGGATAGCTTCAGCAGCTGCGACTCTCGACGGCGCAAACCAAGGCGCAGACATCATGCTTGGTGGTATTGCCTTCCAATTCGGTGCCTCACGATTTCTCCCTTTGGTGATAAGTACTGTAGCTAATGTTTGCTCCAGCTGTCGTGATTCTCTTTTCAATCCTTGTCTGCGACTTCCTCCTGCGCTACCTGCGTGATACCCCTTGGCGAGAAAGCCCGAAATCGTCCTCCACCTCACTCCCAACGACTATGCGCGGGCCACTTATTCCCCGGACCAAAATCATCCTCTCCGCGCTCGCATTTTCGACGGTGGTGCTCTTCATCCGGTCCGTCTATCGTTTGATTGAGCTTGCGGGCGGCTGGGAGGGGCGCATCATCCACACGCAAGTCTACTTCAATGTCCTGGACGGAGGCATGATTGTCCTCGCCATCTTTACGTGGAACTTCGTCCACCCCGGGGTGTTCTTAGCGCCCCCGCAAGCTGTGCTACACTTCGAGGAAGTGAAGCGCACGCGCAGTCGAGAAACGGTAACGACAGCCGTATGAATTGGTTGGAAGGGAATAAAGTGTGAAGGAACTTGAATTAGATGACCCGAAGTGCTTACCGCAGTAACAGAGAGTAACAGTACTAGTACATATCATACATTGCTTATTATTAGATGGACACGTTTTTGGAATATATGTGTACAAACGTCGGGGTCAAGGACAGGAAGCTACGCATTGTGTTTGAGGGTCGATTCTGGTGAATCATTAGTAGAATAGGATTCGCCAGCTAATTTACATCTTGCCTTTCCCCTCCATGTCAGCCCACGCAAGTACAGGTCCCACCCGCATTTGCACACAGGAGACCACTACCGACCCGACTATGGCATACTGGGACTATCCGTAAACCGGAGCTCGCTCGTCAGGGCGCCGAAGGGACTGATGACCTTGTTTTCGGACAGCTCAAATGAGGTTTGCTAGTCCAATGCCCCTGGCCCGACCATTCCCCACATCCAACTCGTAGATGCCGATGATTGACGACGACACGATGTACCTGAGGTCGCCGCCAGTGGACGCTTTGGGGAGGATATAAGAGGTGCGTGCAAAAGCCCGTCTTTCATCGTCTCCAACTCACTCTTCCTCTTCACCTATCTCTCTTTAGTATTTACCACCAACTTAGACCACTATGGGCAACTCGGTATCTGCGGCCATCAGCAAGGCGGAGGACGGGCAAAAGAAGGATGCTCAGGACTCACTGAACGCGCTGCTTGCAATGGCGGAGATGAAGTACCAGACGTTTTTGTCGTCGGTGAAGGACAAGTCGGACACGACGATGGTGCCCGTCAGCAAGTTCCTGCTCATGGACCACTCCGTCAATGCCTCTGTGAAAAAGGACAACGAGAAAGTCAAGAAGGCGGTTACTGGGGCTGTCTCTGCCTTCGCCAGCGGCGCGATTCTCGACGGTATGCCATCTTCCAACCAAGAATCCCAAAACTGACTCTGCTCACAGGTGTTTCCGCTGTCATTGGCTTCGGCATTGACGCAGTTCTGGGGAATGTCGCTGCCAACCAGTCGGAGCACACGACCTACGTGATAACATGTGGCGAGCTCGGCGGGTTAATGCGCATTGACATCAACATCTTCTGCTACTCTTATACCTCCGAGTCCCTTCGCAAAATTGCAGAGAACGTAGTCAGCGTCTCCTACGCCATCAGCTCCGTTGACTCGCGCGACCTGGACCCCGACACGCTGCGGGGCGTCGTCCAGGTGTGCTATGGCGGTGTCGTGAAAAGGGTCAGTTTGCTGCTGCTTTACCAACACAATACTTGTTTTGACACGCCGAACAGGAGCAGTTGAATGAAATCTACCAACTTCTTATCAAAGCTCACGAATCATCCAAAACCGGTCGGTTGGAATGGGTGCCGGAGGTCAAGCCTGCGCCGGAGACGCCAGCAGTCAATAACGATCCCGTTGTGGCGACTGCAGGCGTGACCTCTGCATGAGTGTAAAAGTATATGTCGCTGTCCCCTCTACTTATCCATTGTACTATCGAAGCTGTAATGACTGTAAGGTGCCAGAACCATTCAATCCACTGTGCATCAACTGAGCCCGGGCCTTTCCCAATTTTTTCTCGTTGTAAGCACTGCCTTCTCGGGTTCCTATCGCGGGACTCCTGTCACGGGAGTCCCGCGATTGTCGTCATCACACCGTTCATGCGCCAACTCTACTACTTATATCGCTCCTTGGAAAATGGCCATTAGAGAACATGACACCTTCCTTCCTTGTGGCGAAGCACGCAGCCAACCCCGTTGGCATCACCGCAAATGGCTTGACCGGACCCCAGTTCTTGCAAGAGTTGCTGCATTTGCCGTACACAACAGAGGTGAAGACGCTGGATTTCGGGCTGCGTGGTGAGAAGGAATAGTGCGTGAAACACTCTAAGTACTACTATTTTCCACAGCCTGAGCTGAAGGGATTGTCAGTGCATGGCAAGACATTGCGACGGCCCGCTTTCCACATATCGCTCCTCAATCCAATGGCTTTGTCGACACCGTCTTCAGGGCCTACGCACAGCACCACGAGCTAGTCATCCGGCCCGACGATGTCTGGCTCGCCATTGTCTCGCAGTTTAACTTTTTCGTCAACGGCAATGCAGAGGCGCTTCGGAAGAGTTTTGTCGCACACGACGGCAAACGGCAATTGATTGTCGAGAGGGACCAATGGCCTCCCAAGCCGGCAATGTTCGGAGAAATGACGCGCGAGATGGCGGATGTCATACACCAAAACGTCGTTGACCCCACTTTGCGCAACTGGGCCATCCCCGCTTTCACAACGACCACGACGACAGACGAGATTGTAGCATCGGTGCTACTCATGGCCACCCTCTCTCGGTACTTCGAATACGAGTTCGATATCACTTGTGGTATTCCTCGCATCACAATTGAGGGCACGCGCAACGACTGGGTGCTGTTACTGGGCCGGTTGGATAAGCTGAAGGAATACGGCGTGCAGACCATCGCGTGGTATCACCTATTGCTGCCCGTCATAACGCGTTTTGTGGACGCCTTCGACCCTGTCGAACGCGGCAAATCGGAGTACCTAGGATTCTGGGGCAAAGTTGCACATCGTGAGGATGAATTATACTGTGGGGGACCAGAGTATCTCTCTGGGTGGCTCAACGCCTTTTCTGTCTTCAACGAGAATGGCCAATGGATTGGGTATCCCCTCAAGCAGGCATGTCTGCAAACTTCTTCGTTCGTTTTCCTTTGTAACGCGCTCTAGAATGCCACCGTTCCGCCTGCCTCCTTATCCGCCAACGAGTTCTGGTTGGCATATTTGCAGGACCCCCACGTTGACCCGACCACCCTCGTTCTTGACGGCACACCTTATCACAAGGTCGACATCAACCGAATCCCGTCCGGCTTAGCCATTGTGGATGTCTCCCTTGTAATCGGCAGCGCGCCTCCCATACCATGTGCCCTTGCTGGCGGGGTCGTAGGAATGGAGGCTCTTGTGGCCAATGGGAGTGATTCTGGGGTGCGGGACACGGTCCGGCCGATTGTTGGTTGGTGGATGTACGAGAAGAGCGATGAGGATGCCAAGCGCCGCAGATACGAGCCGGATGAATCGGAGCTGTAACTGTATGCGACTCAATTGGAATTCAACAACAAATATGTGTGTGTGTGTGTGTCTATCTAACTTCGGACCACCACCACTTCGCTTTCACAAAGTTTTCAAGGTTTGCGATTGACAAAAAGCGATAGTTATCGAGACGTATCTGGGGACGTAGTAAACCAGCGCGAGGCTTGCTACACTTTCTGTAAGCTCCGAGTCTTGTAAATCTCAGTCCGGGTAATGGTCTAAATGTGAAAACCATAAACTCCAGCTGGGCATTGGATTCATACCTAAGAGCTCGTTCGGTAACCGAAACGCTGCGCCGACGCTTCTCAAACGCTTGCGTTTGGGGTATGTAGTCACATCATGTAACACATTAGTAACACACTTGTAACACGACACTCTCACCACGACGCGTCGCCGTTATGCCAAAGAAGAAGGGCGAAAGCGCGTCAAACTGCGTGTACACCACGGGAGACCTGAAGAAGATGATGGAGGTTGTTGTTGCCAACAAGGAGAAGCTCGGGGAGCCGGCTGGGCTCAAGGGTGTTCTCGCGCAGATGGTTGTTGACGCGCTCAATCCACCAGGGGAGGGGCCTCCAACACCATATGAGCAGCCAGGAGGGCTACAAGTCTCCGAGCTCGCTCTGCACTTGGGCGCATGTTATCAAGATGGTCACAGAGGTGTGACATAAATTAGACACTCTACTCGAAGTTTACAGAGGGTAGCAATGAGGCACAGACACACGGCAGATGCGCGCAGGCCCGGGGAGACGCGTGGGGAGACGCGTGATCCCAAAAAGGAAGTCACGCCGCGGAATTACGGCGTCCCGAAACGCTTGCCAAACGCAAGAGCTCCCGCGATAATTCGCCGGATACTTATCTCGCTACTAGTATCAGGACTTGCCGTACTTCGGTCAGGACCTCACTGCATTCAGGGCAATTGCAACGGCGTTTCGACCGAGCGGGGATCGTGAATCGATTCGTAGGACCCGGGAAGCTCCACCAAAGGGTGATTCAAAAATTTGGGTTTTTGAGGCCCAAAAATCGCGATTTCCTTGTCCAAAAAATGGGTTTTTGAGACAAAAATTCTGTAAACCTTGTTCAAAATATGGGTTTTTTAGGCCCCGGGGAACCATTTTTAGCAAGTGTCACACGGTGACATGTCACGATCCTTCTTCAAAAATGGGTTTTTGGGGCCCAAAAAAATGGGTTTTTGAGGTCAAAATCCGGAAATTTTTTGAATCACCCTTTGGTGGAGCTTCCCGGGTCCTCGATTCGTGATGAAATCAATTCACGAGCACATGCTTGAAAAAGGCTTCTTCTGTCTGCCAACTTCAAGTTGTTTCCGTCCCTTCACCATGCTTGGCTGTGCCAGCAGCCCCCGCCTCCCTGTAGAGCTCGAGCGCGAAATATTTGAACTCTCTGCAAGTGTCTGCGACAGCAAAGGTGTCTCGCTCACTCTCGTTGCACGGCGGGTACAAGCTTGGTGCGTGGCTCTATTTCTATTAGGTCGTGTTTATATGTGTGTGTTGCCAGGATCGAACCACTTGTGTATGAGACACTCGTTCTCGACAGCCGCAAGGAGTCCCAGCGAATACTTGATCTGGCAAACGAGCGACCGCTGGGCTTCCTCGCCTCAATCGTGCGCAAAGTGGTTTTGACAAATGCGACATATGAGCCACACAGCATTCTTTCGCTTTGCTCTGGAGCAACGCACGTGGCGATGGACGAAGTGGCCTGCAGCGACCTGCTTATTCCGCCCGTCCTGGCCAGCATGACGAGCATTCGACACCTGACTATCGCGGCGGGAGAGATGCCTGAGTGCACGCTCGGATTAATTTATTCTCCCGCGCCCGTCTTTCGTGGTGTCACTCATCTTACGCTCCTTGATTATTTCCATTTCGAAGGCGATTTGCTCCCGTTTGTCGCGAGCCTCCCCGCCCTAACGCATCTCGCGCTTTACCACCCCCCACTCTGCCAAACGACACGTCGCTTCCTCGAGGTGTGCACAAATCTCCATGTGCTGGTCATATTGGCCGACTCGGAGGAGGACCGGCTACGCAAGATGGCGGGAAACACGTCCATCAGCGACACGACGCGGGTGGCTATCTGCGTGTGCAAGGGCTGGGCAGATGGGGTTACGGTGCCCGAGGGGGACCCGGAGAACTACTGGACGGCTGCAGAGCAGATTGTGCGGGAGCGTGAATCGTTCTCACACTCACTAACCTGTTCTGGCTGACCCGGGCAGATCCGCCGTCTGGGCCGCGATCCATATACTTATGAGATAACATTCATTCTTTTGCTTGGTTCAAGGTTGTTGAATTGATGAGTCCGAGTTTGAACGGCTAATTACTTCGGTAGATAAGATAGTAATATGTTATTTATTTAGTGCATATGCTGAATATTTATTGTTTTTATTCTTGGTTTCATTATGTAATAGAATATTCCAGCTTAGGAAGACTGAGGAAGTTATCTACTGAAAATAATGATTAGACCTAAAAAAGCTATTCTAATCAAAAATGGTTGCCACTAGGCAATGAACCCTTCTATCAACTCATTGCCAATCTAATATGTTTGAATATGATCGAAATGGTACAGTAACTATAGAGATACTCTTCTTCTTCTCAAAAAGACTATACCCTATCAATTTTCTCCCTTGTTCCATCAGAAGACTGTTTGGATTTGTGGTTATGTAAATGAGATTTTCTGGCACCCCAGCCTCCTTCATAACCAAGCCAGGTATATCTCTGACAATGTGGACCACGGAGTAGGATAACAGCAAGGATCCAGGCATAGAATCCAATATTCAGTATGGCAGCTGCACGCCAGCCATATTTGGTAAAGACTTTAGTTCCAGCAGATGTGCCCATTAGTTGGCCAATGAACAACTGGAAAATATCAGTCAGTGATTACTACAAATATATTGAGCAAACACCTACAGATAACACAAAAAGAGCATTTAATCGTGCCCGTGCAGATGGCTCAATACTAGAACAACTCTTTAGCAGTATTCAGTGTAGAATCTGAGATAAAACCTGAAGACAGAAGTAGCAAGTGATGTTTGAAGTGCTTGTCGGAATACATCAAGTCCCATTATGACAATAACAATGACTGCAGGACTTTGATCACCAGCACCGACTTGAATAGCTTGGAAGACAAAGAGGACAAGCACTCCAGTCAGAGAGGCATACCATGGCACCAGCTTGTCAATGATTTGACCTGCAAATGGGCCACAAAGAACTCCAAAGATGCCAACAACACCAAATAGACCAATGATAATAGTGGAATACTAAACCTAAGTTATCAAAATGTTTGACGAAATGATAAATTGGAATTACATTATAAGGTGGACCCCCAAGCAAGAATGTGAGAGTCACCCAGAAGTTGGTAAAGCAGGCACAGGAAGCAAGGTTAACAAGACAGGCCTGGATAAGCACTGGCTCAGTATAGGCAAATACTACCATGCTCTTCAGAATTCCAAGGTAGGAAAGCTGTGGATTTTTTGCAGGATAGTCTGGAAGAAGAAGATAGCCAGCAAATAAAACAAGGCATTGTACACCAATGGCAAAATAGTATCTGAGATTTTATAAGCAATTAGTAAATATATAATAAGGCACATACACAACATGCCATGAAGTGTACTGTGCTATTATTCCTGCAAGAACACGGGCAATAAGGATGCCAAGCATAAGGCCAGACATGACAACTGACAGGGCAGATGCCCGTTTATCAGGTGGTGCCAAGTCTGCAGCTAAAGGCTTGTATAAAAGTCAGTCAAATCAATATAGGAAGATAAATCATAATATATAGACATACGATCATGATCTGTGGGGTAACAGACACAACACCAATCACAAAGTTCAGAGTTTCAAAGGCGGCAAGATTTGCAGTAAGGGCCAGGCCAATAGTGAGTGAAGCTGAGATAAATGCAAGCAAGAGAATCAACCCTCGGCGCCGGACCAAATCGCCAAGGGGAGAAATGAAGAGGATTCCAATGGCATAGCTGTAGGGAAAATAAGATATGTCTAGCAGATGAAAATGATGAAAACAAACCCGGCTTGTAACAGTGTTGGGATGCTAATACAAAGTTAAGATTTTTTTTAAAAAAAATTGAACTAAAAAAGGAATCATACTTTGCAACTCGGTTGTAGGATACTCCAAATGAATCGGAGAATTGAACTAGACATGAATATCAGCTTGCTCATGCACAGCCTGAGGGCAATTGAAGCCTACTTAGTAAAGGCTGAGAGAATTGTTAGACACACGACAAAACCACGAGAAGTACTAGTAAACGCAGCAATCACCTGGCAGTAGTATAAATTTGCAACTGTAAACGTGCTCGCAAACCCGAAGAGCACATTCAAGACTAATCCGAAGTGAAAAGGCTGCTCCGTATTGTGGCGGAGGCGACGCGGGATAGGAAGTAGGCCAAAGTCAGACTTCGGTGCCAGTGTACCTATGCTAGTGTTGTTTATCGTCGTCGTGGACTGGGCAGAGTCTACAGTCGGAGGTGGCGACCCAGAGGAAGACATAGAAGTCAGGACCAAGAGATGGATGATGCAACGGATAACCGTTGTCCCGCTATGGCCCGAGATATTTCGGTGCATCATTGCGGCACAGCCACGCAGTTGCTCCTAGCTTCCCGATATGTTCTCCTTTTCCTGGTGGAACAAATCGGTGGAGCCAGCCATAGTTGGCCCTCCTCGGCTTTCTGAGGACCTGGAAAGGGAAATCTTCCTGTTAGCCGCATTCCAGGCCCCTCTCAAGATCGTCGCGAATCATATTCTTGTCGCGAAACGGACGCGCCTCTGGTGACTTTTCTGTGCAGTTCGTCAATGCTGAACGTTCGCTGAACCCGAGTTTGTTCTCTTACAGGCTCGAGCCTTTACTGTATCGCACCATCCTTGTTCTCCAGTATGACCGTGTCCGTCACCAACTTGAGCAGCGTTTGCGTCGCAAACCCGGCTCGGTTCTGCGGGATGGTCCGCGAAACTTGCTCATTGCGCTGGGAGAAGAAAAGGAAGATGTAGCTTATGCGGAGATGCTACTGTTAAGATGCACAGGCGTCCAAAACCTCAGCTTTCATCCGCCACTCCGACATTCACGACGCTTCCTACCAGCGATGAAAGGGATGACCGACCTTAGACGTGTCTGTACCCAACTGCAAGAGCTCTTTGACGGTGCAATAGGCAGCGTCGATCTCCAGCTCTTGCCATTCGCCAAACTGACGCATTTGCTTCTATTCGACGAGATGGTCAACTGCTCGGAGAGCGACGCGGCCCACCTAGCTCAGCAACTTGCGTGTCTTCCTGCCCTCACTCATGCTGCCGTCTCCGGTAAAATTCCGCACTATCTTCCACTCGCCATCCTCTCCGTCTCGTCTCTCCGCATTCTGGTCAACCTCCGTCAGGACACCCGGCTTCGAACCGTTCAGATGATGTACGAGCGCGAGCTGAAGGATGTCAACGACATCCGATTCGTCATCGCCCCAGTAGACATTTGGGTCAGAGAGTGGGAGGCGGCGACTAAAGGAGCACCTGATTTCTGGGCTGTGGCGGAGCGGTTTGTCGAGGCAAAACAGAGCGGAGCGATATCCAGTGGGTGTCCGTGCTTCGCTGCAACGCGTTCAATAACTGATCTCTCATCAGCGGACAAGTATTGGACTGACGACGATATGACTGTTTAGTGGACCAATTCTCTTTTCATTTCCAAGCCGACATGAAGGACACCGTGAACTATGTCGTAGGCCTTGATTCATAAGCGCAAACTGGCTTGTTTGTCCTTTGCAATATCGTTCATCAGAAACCGCGTCCACTTGCAATGAATCCACCGCCCAATCACATGGTGCTTCTCGGCGACCCCCCTGAAACGCACATGAGCGAAGAGCAATTGCGAGCATTGTACGCGCTCTCGCACTTGTAACCCATTGTGCCACTAATTATTCTACAGAAACCGCGTCAATGACTGTACATATCCAGAGGACCAACCAGAAGTCGAATCTTGACACCCACAATGCGCCATGTATTCTCTCGTCTTACACTGCTGTTGAATACCGGCAAGAAGCCCACGAAATCATAAACGCAGATGGTCATGATCAAGACGAACCCGCCCCGGGCTAGCACTACTTTCTTTCGCGCCACAGAGCGTGAAATACCCTCATGGCCCGGGCGGGGCGCACTCAACGACGTTAACCTTGACAACTACATGAAGGGATTCGCCTCCGCCAATTCTTGAAGACGGAGGCGATCAAGTTCAGCTAAAACGAGCGTGTCAACTGTCTTCTCAGTTACTGGTTCCCTTTTCCCTTCTGAATACCGTGGCTTTACTTTTATCCTCACTTTTCTCGGCACCTATACCATAGTTATACCTGCGGTCGGATTCCGGAGTTGCAAACATGCATCGTGTTTGGTTTTTTTTTGCTTCCTTCGCCAATTTGCTCTGTTGTCTTCTCTGTTGTCCCACCTCGTTTTGAGTTGTAGGCCATAACCACATTTACTTACCTAGCTGACCCATGGCCGACGCGTCGTTTGTAGCACATTTTCAGAAGTCACCATGCTCGCACTTCTCGAAGTTCTTCCTCAATGAAGGGGAACTCAATACTAGAGCAGTAACTCCAAAGACACAGCAAACTACATACTACATACTACTTTTACGGTATCATAATCATATCACCAGTATTAGTACAATCAGGCATGGTTATGAAAGCATGACCGCCAGATCAGGACCCCATGCTAAGCCCCAGGCCAATGTTCCTCTCTGGGCTACATTCCTGCTCTTCCTCCAGATTGAGCGCCATAACAGAGGATGCCAACGAGCGTGGGGGGTCTCTCGCGCGCCGCCTGCCCTCCCTCACATGCTCCCCCAAAAGGGCAGATGGCGACCCCTTGCCACTCCCCATCGACAATCCCAGCCCAATCCCCATCAACGGCGACAAGACATCCACCGGCGTGCGTGGCCCGGGGCTTCGACTTCCCAGACTGGGACTTCTGCTCCGGCTAGTACTTCGCTCAATTGAGCCCGACCCAGAGCTTTGGGTCCTCGTCAAGCTTGCCGTCGCGCTCCGACTAGTGCTCCGCCGCCGCAAACTAGCACTTCTTTCTTCATCCCACCTCGTGTTTCTGGACAACGACCGTCTGCTCTGACTCTCGCCATCCGTCACCCGCGAAGGCGACCTCTTCAGTGGAGGCGGCCTCTCCGTCGAGTAAGGTGCCCTGCTCTCACTCCTCTCGACCCGCTCGCTAATCCTCCGTGCAGCAGCACTTGGCCGTCCTCGTTCCAACACTCGCTCGTTGGTCGCCATCTCCATCTCCAGCGGCGAATGGGGTTTGAAATCGAGTTCGTCCATCAGGATCGCACTTTCTTCGTGAATGATTTTAGATGAGGACGGAGAACTTGAAGGCGAGATGGCGACATCTTCACCGCCAACTGCCCAGGCGCACTCGTCAACTCTCTCGACTGTCCACCGGTCGGCAATGAGTGGAGCAAGGCATCCTCGAAGAACGGCAAGGGTGCTTCGAGGAGTAGCAGATGGTGGAGCGGGGTAGTTACCTGAAAAGTATTCAGTATACATGTGAAAAGAAGAAAGCAAGACAAAATGATGGGATGAATGGGAAGGTATGCGAGCTGACAGTAGAAAGAGAAGAGGGAATTTGTGTGGGGGGGGGGAAGGCATGTGGCGCAACATTGTAGAACAGGAACCAAATAAAGACAGGTAAAGATACTTGTTGACAAAAGCGGTGAAAGAAAAAAATCTGAATATAGAACGAAGGGTATGGAAGCAGGGGAAGGCGATGAATGGATGAAGGAGTCGAAGAAAAAGAGAAAGAAGACGCAAGTGATATCCTAAGGAGAAAGCAAATGAAACAAGCAGGCGAGCAATGAAACGAGGAGCAGTGATATGTGATGGGAAAAGGCGGGGAGAATATAATCTAAACAGAAAACTAACCTCCCAAAATCTTGAGAACCAGCCTCGGCTCGAAGGAATCCGAAAACGGGAGGCTCCCGGTCAACAGTGCATATAACAACACACCCAGGGCCCATATGTCCTGTGCAGGATGAGGTCGCAACGGCGAAGTTATTGAAACATGTTTTTCGATGGTCATGAAGCTTGATGATAGAGAAGACGTGGTCGAAGTGGAGTCCATCGTCGTTGTTCTGCTCAGAAAAGCGGAGCTGCTTTTTCCTCCCGTATGTCTCGCGCGTGACGACGACGAAGCAGAGAACGATGTCGGAGGGTTAGGCTTGGGTGGCCCCAGTAGCTCAGGGGCAGCATAGGGCAACGACCCAGGCTGGAATTCGGTCTCTGTGGTGCGCGCCAAGATGGCAGGGACGGAGGCAGTGCGATCGCGACGGAGACTACCACGAGGCGCAGCCAAAGATACCGCTCGATGAACTCCAGCGGGTGGCGCATTGTGTGGCTTAGAAACGATATCGGTCGTAGCATCGATGTCTTCTTCGTCAGACTCGCTCCCATCCATAGACCTTGCCATCCCAAAGTCGGCTATCCTGCACACGCCCGCCTCGTCAACTAAGACGTTTTCAAGCTTTATGTCACGATGGACCAGCCTCTGCTCGCAATGGAGGTATCGCAGTCCTCTGACGATCTGGCGAAACATTCTGCCCGCGTCGTCTGAGCCAGGGACTCCACCACGCATGATGTCAAAAAGAGAGCCAGCGGGACAGAGCTGAGTGACGAAGAAGTCGTTTTGGGGAGTGTGCACGGTGGCGAAAAGAGGGAGGATGTGCTCGTGTGAGAGACCGCTCCAGACGGCCTCCTCGTTCTCCAAACGCTTGCGAGCTTGAATGGCTTGTGTGGCAGAACGAGGTACGACCTTGACGGCAACAACAGCGCCAGTGGTGACTGCGGTTGCTCGGCGAATGGTAGAGAAAGCGCCATGAGCGATGATGGGGCCTAAGGTAAAGCCACCAACGACAGCGCCTTCTGCATCTACTACAGCGGGTTTGGCGGCGGGAGAGAAGGCGGACAGGAAGAGTGCGGCGGGGGAAGAGCCCAGAGGTGGCTCTGGAGACGACGGGTAGCCGAGAATGGGCTCGTCGTTACGAGAAGAGGGAATGTCCAGCGGCCGGACCTTGCTGAGGCCAGGCGCTGGAGGCAGCCCATCTGGGGCCTCACTAGTCGCGGGGGATAACGAAGCGGAAAAGAATCGACGGTAGCCTTGCGCGTCGTGTTGCATGCAAAGGGTGTGGGGGGCAAAAAGCGGAAAAGCTCGGGAGCCGTGTCACGGTACTGTCACACAGGGAATGATGAGTCAGGCCCCATGCTGCTGCGCCAAGCGGCGGTAACGAGCATTCTCGTCGCGGGAGGAGGCGCTGGAGGAGAGGGAGGAAGAGGGTCATAAAAAAAGATTTGTACTCCGTAACCCGTTACTGCATCACCGCATAAGCAATATCCGTTTGGATTTCAGCGATAAGGTGAGTGACGTAATGTGACTCTCGAATGACGAGTCGACAAAATTTTGACCTCCTGCATTGCGCAACCATCCACATTGGCTGGATTCTTCGGACAGCGCTTCAGTTACGGTTTACAGGCTCAAAGCCTTCCAAATTCACCGCTTCAATCGACCCTAAGAGAATAACCGTGACAAGAACCCTTAAATCTGAAATTTCAAGACAAGGCTAGCGATAGTCAAACCAGAGCAAACCAGCCATCTGAGCCTTTCGGGTCACCAAAGTCAAATTCACTTGGTGAACGATGTTCTTGCTTCCATGGCGGTTGAGCCCTTATCCTTTGATACATAATGTTGTCGGACAGTTCCTCCGAATTGCAATACACTGGCATGTACCGAATGTCTGGACGATTGATATTATAATGGTTACAGCTACAATCGGGCAAGATACAAGATGAACCACATATTATAACACTAGTGTGAAGCCTCTCACAAATATACACCATGGGAAAGGTGATTCCACGGCATCTCATGTTTCCCCCAGATGTCTGTTTGGGACTTCTTTGGTCGCATGTCATCTCACGGAATCTCTGGAGTATATATACTCGAGTGTGCTCAACACTTTCTTCTTCTTGTCCATCATGGCCAAGCTCCAACAGAAACTCTTGGTTGCTAACCGAGGAGAAATTGCACTTCGTATTATACGGACTGCAAAAGCAATGGGTATTCATTGCATTGCTATATACTCACCAGCAGATGCACTGACACCCCATGTATCTGCTGCAGATGAATCAGCTGCACTAATACCTGCAGATGACACAGATTCACATGAAGCTCAGCTTTATCTTTCGATTCCACTTATCCTTTCAATTGGTGCATCTTATGGTGCAACACTCCTGCACCCTGGATATGGCTTTCTCTCTGAGAATGCTGAATTTGCACAGGCTGTTATTAATGCAGGGATAGTCTGGCTTGGTCCACAGCCTGAAGTTATCCAGTCTATGGGACTTAAACACCTAGCTAAATCCATTGCTCAGCAAGCAGCGGTACCTTGTATTCCTGGGTCACATGGGATTCTGCCTGATATTGACAGTGCTTTGCTGGTGTCAAAGAGTATAGGCTATCCTGTCATAATTAAAGCAAGTGCTGGTGGTGGTGGAATTGGGATGGCTATATGTGAAAATGATGATGAACTTATCAAATCATTCCACTCAGTCCAAAAAAGAGCAGAGGTATGTCACTATGTTTCTTTTAATCCTTTTTGATTTTTTCCCCCAGATATCATTTCACTATGATGGAATCTTTCTTGAAAAATATTTTTCAAAAGCGAAACATATTGAAATCCAGGTATGTACTAGCATGTCCAGTTCTTTTAGGGTAATAAAATAATATTATATCATTCTTACAGATATTTGGCAATGGACTTGGTGACATTGTGTGTCTGGGAGAAAGAGAATGCAGTATACAGCGGCGACACCAAAAAATTATTGAAGAAACACCTAGCCCTTTTTTTCAATTATTTCCTGGTATGCTTGTTATTTATCTTTTGATTAGGTAATAATACTGAAATTTAGAGTTACGTAAATCCATGTGTCAAGCTGCAGTGAGTCTTGGAAAGGCTATCAACTATAGCTCTGCTGGTGTGTTATCAGCCCTGTTTTGTACATAGGCTAATATTATAAGGAACTGTGGAATTTCTTGTAGATGTTGAGACTGCTCAGTTCTATTTCTTAGAAATGAATACACGTATCCAGGTATAGTATCTGCAATTAAGACCTACTTCTACTTATCTAAATGTATCTGGTAGGTTGAGCATCCTATTACAGAAGCAATTTATCCAGGACTTGACTTGGTCAAGCTTATGATCCTGCAGGGTCTTGCCAAAAGCTTAGATATCAACTCTAGAGAAATGCAACAACCTATTTATAATGAGCTTTTGGAAAATACAAAAGACAATCATGCCTTAGAAGTCAGATTATATGCAGAGAATCCTGCAGAAGAGTTCTGCCCAAGTCCTGGAATTCTACAGCATGTATCCTTTCCAGATTCTGAAACATATCCTTGGTTGCGGGTAGAAAGTTGGGTATGTGATTCTACTATTGTAGTTATATTTTGATATTATTATCTTATTTATAAATCTAGATATTGACAGGTCTGACAGTAACTCCATTCTTTGATCCATTACTTGCAAAGATCATTGTATCTGCATCCAGTCGCAAGGAGATGATTGATAGGATGTTATTAATCTTGAATAACACCCATATAAATGGACCACCAAATAATATTGAATATCTTAAGGCCATTCTTCATGACCAAATCTTTCAAGATGGCTTTTAGCACAACTCAATATTTACAGAATTTCTCATGGACATCTTGGTATATATTATTTAATCCATAACCAATCTTTACTTATTTAGAAAACTGACAGCACCCTGAAGATCATTTCATCTCCGATTGAGATAACAATTCAAGACTTTCCTGGACGGGATATACATATGGGAATTCCCAAAAGTGGTCCCATGGACTCACTTGCATTCCGAGCAGCTAATATTCTTGTTGGAAACTCAGAGGGAACAGAAGGCTTAGAAATGATTATAGTTCCTGGCATCCCAGCCAAAATCCGGTTTAATGCCCCAGCTGTTATTGCTGTAACTGGCAAATCTACTCAAGTCATGGTAGATAATAAAGTTGTAAAGATGTGGTCAACACTCTCTATACCAGCTGGTAGAGTTCTTGCAATCATGGCACAGCCAGAACAGTTAGGTGGTCTGAGAACATATCTAGCCATCTATGGTGGCTTCCCAAATATCCCACTATATCTTGGGTCCAAATCCACATCAATGGGGCTAGGTGGCTACCAGGTATTGAATTTACTCATATATTTCTAGATTACTCAACTTTTATCAGGGCAGGTCATTACTGGCTTTTGATGAGATAAATATTGCAAATATTACTGATGTTGCCTTTAAAATGCTCCATATCTCTGGAGATCAAATTCCAAATTATCCTCATGAGACTATTGTCCATGTACTATCAGGCCCACATGATGATCCTGAGAGTTATCTTACTAGCTCTGGGATTGAACAGTTCTATCAGACAAAATGGTATATTGGTACAGCCTCCAATCGCTTGGGCATCCGGCTTGAGTCAAACTTGAAATTTGACTGGGCACATACAAGTGGTGGTGCAGGTGGCTCACATCCAAGCAATATTTTAGACAATGGATATGCTTTAGGATCAATTAACCTCAATGGAAACACTCCTGTTATCCTGACCAATGAAGGTCCAGATATGGGTGGTTATATCTGTCTATGTACAGTTGTACAGGCAGATCTGTGGAAAATTGGCCAGCTAGCACCAGGAAACATTATGACTGTTCAATTCAAAAGAGTCAGCTGGAAAGATGCTAGACAGATTGAGCAGGAAGTTACAAAATGGCTCAAGTCAATTAAAACTCAAACTGATATTTGGAAAGAAGTAGGAGTGGATGAGACAAAGGAGAACCCAATTTTGTTTGAAGCACAAATCACAGAGACTATGCCTAGAATGGTTATTCGCCAGGTAGGAGACATATAATATTATAGTATATATTATTGAATTAACACACCTAGGCTGGTGACTCTGCTATATTAGTAGAATATGGTGAAATGAAGGTTGATTTTGAAATCCGAGCACATGTCCATGCCTTAGAAACAACTCTCAAAAAGCTCAAAATCCCAGGAGTTCAAGCCTTTTGTCCATGTGTAAGATCTACAATGGTGTGTTAATTCCAAGATTCTGAAACACTGGATTCTCAATACAAACTAGATACATTATGATCCCAATATCCTAACACAACAATCACTGGTCTCTAAAATTCAGAGTCTTCCCAGATCCTCTTCCCAGGACCTGGAAGGCATATCTTTTCCAGGACGAAGAATTACATTCCCCATTGTTCTAGATGATCAATGGTGTAAAGATGCTATTGCTAAATACATGGCAACTATCCGAGACAGTGCAGTATATCTGCCAAGCAATCTGGACTATCTTGCATATAATAATGGATGTGATATAGAAGAGTTATTGGAGAAGCTTACAATGTCTGATTGGGTATGTAATTCATATACTTATATATCTAGTGAAACTAAATAGCTAGTAGCTTGTATTTGGTGTTGGATTTTACTTAGCGTGCCCATTTTTGATACCAGTGGATTTAACTTCTACTTGCTTATGACTGGCTGACTATTTTTAGATTGATCCCCGCTGCCAAATTGTTGCACAGAAGATGAACCCATCAAGAACATATACTCCTCGTGTTCGTCATTTATTTAGTAGTTCCTTAGTAAAGACCTCAGCTTAATCCAGGGAGCTGTGGGGCTAGCTGGAATGGTTGCTGCTATCTATCCAATTGTCTCACCAGGAGGTTATATGCTTTATGGACGAACACTCCCTGCCTGGCAACAATGGGGTCAAGGCCAGGGCAATGATTTTACTCCAGATAGACCCTGGCTGTTATTTCCATTTGATCAAGTCCGGTTTGAACCAATAACTAAAGCAGAATATATCCAGGTATAGAATTCATATTCTTCCATTAAACAATTTACCATTAGTTTATACAGCTAGAAAGAAAGTTTGATGCTGGTCAATATAAATTCAATGTTCATTGTTTTTCCTTTCATAAACTCTTTATAGCTGATTTTTTTTTTTTTTTGATAGATTGAAGAAACAACATTCTCAATAGCAGAGCATAAAGCATTCACAGCTTCTATTGCAAATGAGATTGCTATGTTTACAAAGAAGCAGCAATC